GTAGTGAGGCCGGGAGGGATGGGGCAGGCGAGGCCAGGAGGGATGGGGTAGGTGAGGCCGGGAGGGATGGGGTAGGTGAGGCCAGGAGGGATGGGGTAGGTGAGGCCTGGAGCGATGGGGCCGGGAGGGAGGCAGCCGCACTGGGCCAGAGGAGGGATGGAGTGAAACCAGGTCACAGTTGAGCTGTCATTTGGCTGGGAAGCCGTTCCTAACTGGAGGCTCTGGGTTATATACCCTTCTCATAGGGCCGTGATGGCGAACCTATGACACACGTGTCAGAGGTGACACGCGAACTCATTGTTTTGGTTGATTTTTCTTTGTTAAGTGGCATTTAAATATATAAAATAAATATTAAAAATATGTCTTTGTTTTACTATGGTTGCAAATATCAAAAAATTTCTATATGTGACACAACACCAGAGTTAAGTTAGGGTTTTTCAAAATGCTGAACCTTTTTCTCAAAAGGTTCGCCATCACTGTCCTAGGGGCTCCTACAGCACCACACACACCCCAAAGCAGAGCTCCTAACAGTTGTTTCTATAGACTCATTCAACAAATTCATCAAGGCCCTTGTTCAGTGCTGAGAATACAGGGTTAACAAGACAGGAAGAGTGTTGGCCATGAGCACAGCTGGGAGGAGACACAGACAGTAAACAAGTAAACAAACAAACATAGATATTCAAGTGGTGCTAATTGCATGGGGATAGAGAGAGACAGGTTTTAGGGGGAAGGGACACAGGTGGGAGGGGACAGCCTGGCCACCTCTGATCAATGACGACATGTGAGGACACAGGAGAAGAAGGGGCAAGTATAGCGCCCCCTAGGGTGTAACATGTTCACAGACCAGAAAGGATCCTGTTGTGGCTGGGACAGGGGAAGCAAGGGGGAGGGCAAAGGCAGCAAGGCTGGAACCAGGCAGTGGCCCGATGACACAAGCCTTGTGCTTTTAAGTGGTGGAATGAGGGCCAGAAGAGCGATGGGATCTGACTCACGTTAAGGTCATTCTGGTCAGGGAGAAGCTATAGGCAGGGCAGGCTCAGAAAGGGAGTCTGGAGGCCACTGCCGTCTTCCAGGTGGGAGACCGTGGCAGCTGGCTCTTCAGCTGTTAGCAGAGGAGGTGGGAACGTGTCAGATTCCAGGTACATTTTGAAGGCAGATTAGGCAGAGCTTGCTGAGGAATTGGATGTGGATGAGAGAGAAACGGGACTCAGGTAGGTCCGGGGCCGGTGAATATGGTGTTGCCATCTGCCAACACGGGGAAGAGGGAGAAGCAGGCCTGCGGGCAGGAAGCAGGAGAGCACCTCCAGAGTTTGGTTTTAGACAAATGTGAGGTCCTCGGAGGTAGCAGGTGGGGATGTTGACGAGGCGGGAGGATGTGTGAATCAGGTGCTCGGGGAGGAGACGGGGCTCGATGGGAAACCAGACGCACTTTCGGCATAAAGATGCTGTTTCTAAGCCCGAGGCCAGATGAATCCCCCAGGAAACGAGCGGATGGAGACGAGGTCTGAGCATTAAACCTCAAAGGTGAGTGAGAAGAAACAGCCTAGAAAGAGGAGAAGCAGGGGAGGTGGCGTCCTGGCAGCCAGGGAAGAGCAGGTGCAGGAAGGAAGGGCGGTCAGAGGACAAGTGCTGCTGGAGGGTCACGTGAACGAACAGAAATGACCACTGGGTGAGGGTCACTGTCCCTGGGACAGGCAGAGTCAGTGGTGCGGCAGCTTCGTGGAAACAGGCTGGGAGGAAGGAGAGAAAGCAGGTGCACACAACTACTTTGAAGAAATTTGCTCCTTTGAAGAAAATAGCCGGTTTGGCTCAGGGGATAGAGCATCGGCCTGTGGACTAAAAGTTCCCAGATTTAATTCTGGTCAAGGGCACATGCCTGGGTTTCAGGCTCAATCCTTATAGGGGGTGTGCAGGAGGCAGCCAATCAATGATTCTCTCTCATCATTGATGTTTCCATCTCTCTCTCCCTCTCCCTTCCCCTCTGAAATCAATTATTTATAAACACACACACACACACATATATATATTTTTAAACAGAAAGAAATTTGCTATAAAGGAGAGCATGATGCCACGGCTAGGGAGCACATGGCATAAAGAAAAAGTGTTTTAAGATGTGAAATATTACAGCACGTTTATATGCTGATGGCAATGATCCAGTAGGGGGCAGTGCATGTAGGTTAAGAAAACTACATTAGGCAGAAGGGCCATAAATTCTTCACATGACTCGAAAAGCAATAATTCCTAATTACACAAAATGCTGATTAAAAAAATAAAAGATATTCACTTTCTAACTTTCAAAAATTAGAATGATTCTAGTAAATGGGTAAAAGAAATCTTACAGGCATATCTGTAGTAATCAGAAGTTGGTCCAAAGCAAAATAAATTGTAAAACTTTGAGAAATATCATTTTAACATGCAAAAGCCAAGAGTTTATCATAAAAATGCCATTTAAAATATCATATTTCATAAAACTGGCCTTTCTAGATGATGCAATGCAACTCAAGATGAAAATGTCTAAACTAATTCTTTTCTCCAATTCCCATGAGCAGGATATACTTACAGGCTGCACTGGTTTAGTCTGTAAAACTTGTGCCTCGCCACACAGAGTCTCCACATGTATTTTGCTGTTTCCATGTCTTCCTAGTAAGTAAAATATGCATAGAATAGATGAAAGCACATTTACAACGTGATACAGAGTTTATCTGGGGACAAGACGTAATCATGTCAAGTCACTTTAAACACACTGGGACTCTTTCATTTCCCAATACTGTGTCTTCACAGGAATGTGAAGGATAATTAGGATTTAAATTATGAAGACAAAAAAAATCTATTCAAACAGTGTGATTCTTGTATTAAACAGCTTCAAAATGACTTAGAAATTTAAAACTTATGAAAATGTCAACTTTCATTTTGACAAATAGATAACTCAAAGACATTTTTATTTATTTTTTTTAAATATATTTTATTGATTTTTTACAGAGAGGAAGGGAGAGGGATAGAGAGTCAGAAACATCGATGAGAGAGAAACATCGATCAGCTGCCTCCTACACACTCCCTACTGGGTATGTCCCAGCAACCAAGGTACATGCCCTTGGCCGGAATCGAACCCGGGACCCTTGAGTCCACAGGCTGATGCTCTATCCACTCAGCCAAACCAGTTAGGGCTCAAAGACATTTTTAAACAAAACATTTGACTCAGTGACTCAATACTGCCATGTGTCAAGGGAGCAAAAGCAAATACCTGTGAAATAATCTTTCTACAGAGCCATTCACTTCATGGAAATTAAGATATTAGTGCTCACTTTCTCCCCTAAGTAGGTGCTTAAATTTAGTAGTTATCTAAGGATTCATTCAACAATATTCACTGAGCAATTACTTTTGTCAAATGCACTATTAGGACAAAACTACCATTATGTAAAATGTTGTAAAATTTTATTTTATAAAACTGTAAAATATTATCATTTTAATGCCACCCACCCCCTTCTCCCCCAAACACACACACAGAGACGCTAACGTGTTACCTTTCGGGGGAAAAATATTCCATGCTATTCCTACTGCCCACTCACCGTTTGAAACTGGATGGTCTCCTCTTTACTCGCCAGCTCTAAGGCAAAGAACGACTTATTGTGGGACATGTTAGCAATATCGTGCCACCTAGAGAACAACAAACAGAACATGGCAATGTGAGTGCTCATGCGCACGCCAAGGAGGTGGAACATGTGATTTCCACGTTTGAGCTTGATACATCAATTAATATTGGATTGTCTCGGAAACAAAACAGTTGTTTTAATCCTCTAGCATGCATTTTCTCATTGAAGTGATAACACACAGCCGCAAAAAGTAAGTGCAAAAGAAGGCTTGAAAATGTAAAATCTATTTACCCCCATTTGTCAGACTAGTTAGATCAAAGATCCCCGTATTAACTGGTTGCCAATGACCCCTTCCTTCGTTCAGCAAACGTCTTACAAAGATGCATCATGGCAAGGTCAGGACTATGTTAGGTCCCAGGGACGCCAAGGTCAGTGGGGCTCCGTGCTTCCCTAGAAAGGCGCACACCTGGTTGCAGGTTTGCTTCCCATTCCGCGTGCGGGAA